AATTCCTGGTCGAAGCTCTGCTAGTTTTTCTATAGATTCATATCAACTCCATGGTAAAATATCCTTTGTTTCTTCATGGTTATTCTATATACAATTCTATATATCTTTTAAGTAAAAAATACCATACACACCAATACACACGCACACACACTCATGCTCGCATATGTGTCGCCGTCCAATTGACAATCATTTCGCCCAAAAAAAAAAAGTTTAATTTAAAAACTTTTATGTGCACTGCAAGGGCAAAAAATTCCAGACAAAAACAGCGCCCATTGGCTATGCAAAAAAAAAAAAAAAAAAAAAAAAAAAAAAAAAAAAAAAAAAAATGCCCAAAGAGAGGGAATATCGTAAAGGCTGGCAAATTGTTTGCAAAGTGTTGGACACTTTGCTTAAAGATTTCACTGGCAGTTTAAGAGCCACGAGCTCAACTGAAAGTGACAAACTCGCACGTCCTGCCAATGTTGACATTGACACAGATGCAGCCAGCTGCAGGACGAGGGCCGCAGGGCGCAGGACGTGGGCTACAGCTGCACAGCTGCAGTAGAGATCCAATGAAGTTGCTGGCATTGAATGCATGTCAGAACCAACGGGCGGCAGACAGCATAAAACTTTCACAAAGCGGAAGTTTATTAAAACAGCAGCTCAGGGTAAAAGAAAACGGTGGAAAGGAAAAAAAAAAGAGGAAGAAGAAGCAAGCTCATGCATGACAAATAAGCTGGCAGGAAAGGAGTATGCGAGAGTCATAGATACTCAGCACAAGGCAAATAAGTAGCTAGAAATATTAAGCAGATATGTATTACAGATACTATGCTAATGGAATATCCAGAATTTCCAAAATTTTAAGTAGAATTAGACAATAAGAGCTCAGATGTGAGGCGTTTAGAGAGTATTAATTTTATTCTGATATGAAATGGGATTTGTAAATTATTGTTGGCATCCCATTAAGCCCTCCTCTCATAGAATAATTTTAGATTTTCACATAACTCCAAAAACTATGGTCATATGCAAAAAATATTTGTTGTGATCATTTAAAGGCGTATCAGCTGCTTATATACTAAATTTCATATACCTAGCAGCCATAGATCCTGAGATCGATGAGGTTAGTTAAGACTATATTATATGGGCGCAAAGAGAAGTAGATAGAAGTGATGAAAACTATAGCAAATGTACAATCAAATATATTTTCTATGATTTTCTGTGTCTGCCTTGTCTTATCACTTTCAATATACCCTTTCTATATGCAGAAATCCTAGGGTATTCAAATGCGCATTACAATGAATGCAAAGGTGGTCACACTGTGAGTAAACTAACTGAGTAAGAATCCAGCAGTCACTGCATTTTTACTTGAAATGCAAATACATACAATGCACACACACACACATACACACACACACCATAAGCAGATACGAAACACTCCATTATGTATGGACCAGACGGGGGCAAAGATACAATTTTGTATTTTGTTGTGCAATTGAGCGAGCAACTGCAGCAGGAAACTGTGTGGAAAAGTATCGCAAGCAGCAGACAGCCAGGAGGCACTCAATGAGCAATGCATCGAGCGACAGCGTTGTCCTTGCCATCAAATGCCATTTGCATGCTGCTGCAGTAGCTGAGCCAACTGATAAAGCCGTGTTGCAGCCACGTACCACGACGCATGCTGCCGCTGCCACTGCTCCTGCTGCTGCTACTCGACTGGGCTGGGACTCGGCTAAATTCCTATAAAATAAATCGTTGACGTATGGCAGCTGCATGCTGCCTGCAGAATCCAATTTCAGTGTCCTGGATTTTTATTAAAGCAACAATTTATAATATATACTTGAACAGAGAGAGAGAGAGAGTAACAAAGAGACAGAGAGATAGAGGGAGAGCGAGATTCAGCTAGGCAGCATCTTATCTAATCCAAAGGCTCCTGTGCCTTGCCGGTTCCAGTCTCCTGCCATGGCACAAAGGGCTGCACTTTAAATGTGCTGCGTCGGCAGCCATTTGTTTGCCTTTTGTGCTGTGCATTTGATTAACTGGCTGAAAACTAAGGCAAGCTGAAGGCCAAATGCGAGCTGCTTAGCGCATAAATATTCGAATTTCCTTCGGGCAGGGGGATGGGGGCCAGCTTGGTAATGCTCAATCATAAACGACAGACGAGGCAAGAGCGTAATATATAATCCACGTATAGATGCCATAGCAATTCGCAAATTATTTTCAAGCTGGCATTAAATAAACTGACAAACGCAGGAAACAGCCGGCAAAAAAAAAAAAAAACCAGGAAAATATAAATAAATAAAAACCAAAAAACAAGCAGCGTCCCCTGACTGTTGACTCCAGCGGGGCTTCGACTGGGTTCGGCTGTGGGCAGGGGAGGAGCAGCAGCAGGGGCAGACAGTCAGACAGACAGCCGTCCTTGGCCATGTTGTTTTAGCTGCTGCTGATATTGCTGTTACATATTTGTTGTTGGTTTGCTGCTGTTTCTTCTTCTTCACTTCTATTTATTTTTTTTAAATCGAATCTCATGTCAACTGACTTGTGTACATCATCTATTTGTCTGGCTGTCCATCTGTCTCACTGTCTGGCGTTAAAAGGGGGGGCGCTCTCTGTGGGGCGTTCTCATTTTTTTCTAATTTTTTATTTT